ATTAATATTAATTACAAGGAGTATAATTGGATAGGCAACATAACGTACACCACTCAATCGTTATCCTTATATGGTTGTCGGTTCAAAAAATCGATTTTTAGTACCAGGGTCCCATGAAGTGTCGTCACAGTTCCGTATTTCGTTGGATATTCGGATAGGCAACCAAACGTACACCAATAMGCCGCCTCCGCGACACACACGTCATACTTCATGGRACCCTGGTACATAAATTAAATATTCAACTTCCACCGGACCGGCTAAATAGCGTTGTACGTTCGGTTGCCTACATAAAACGCCTCGCAAACGTCWTTTTGAGAACGACTTGCGTATTAAATCAAACACGATAACATAATAATACAATCGATGGATTTTCAGATAGGCAACCAAACGTACACACCAGGACGTCAAATTATTACAGCACCGCGCGCCTCCTCCGCGACACGTGGTTCATGGGACCCTGGTACAACAATTAAATATTCAATTGTCGCCGGTCCCATTGAATTGGCGTCGTACGTTCCGTTGCCTATATAACACGCCTGGTAAACGCAATTTTTGGGAATGACGTGCGTTTGAATAAATACGATAGTATTAGAATAATACTTCGATGTTAAAAGAAATTAATCGCGTGAACAATTAGTGACAATTTCAAATATCTACTGATACTTATTAGAGTTATTCGAGTTCCGCCATAAAACCAAATCAGTTTTGTTAAACTTTACTTTTTGTTCTCAAAATTTTTTATAGGTTTCGAACCCTTTTGAAAATAACCGGGAATTAACGATTTAATAACTAAAAACATACGCTTAAAAATGTAAAATCGATATTTTATTCATTCCGATCAATATTTAAGATCAAAGCAAAACGAGAATTTTCACGCAAGCCCGGATTTCGACGAAATCTATATTTTTTTTTTTTTGGAGGTAACTCAAAACCGAATAACCATAAATACTTAAGAACGTTCATAAAATATATTTATGTCTTTTGAGCTATTTCGATTATTTGACACTGTCGAATTTTATACCTTCAAGTCACATTAGTGTTTCAAATCAGAAATTGAATTATATTATCTCCCATAAGTTCACTATTTTTCATTCCTAATTTATTTTTGATGTGTTGCAATACAAAAACGAAAAACGATAGATATTTGAAATTTTCGATAAATGTTAATTTTTATGATTTTCTTTTACATGATTTTCAAAATATTTTGTTTATTTTAGCAATTACTTAGATATTCTAAATTATAAAAATTCCAAGTTTTTATTCAATAAAATGTCGATARTACTATTTTGCAGTAAATAAGAGGACTTGAACAATTTTATTATGTACAAAGTTATTATTAAAGTAATTATGAAATATTTAAAATAGGTAAATAATCAGACATTGTTTAAAATTAATGTCATTAAAATATTTATTTTGATTTGGTGGTGGGTGGAGGGAGGGCGGTAATATGGGATATTGAAAATTTATGGTGTAATTATTTTAGCACCTCCTCCCATCGCATTATACATAATCGCCCTACGCCCAAGTTTTTGCAAAGATAACAAACGAACAAATTAATAATTTTACGAGTATACAGTAAACATTATATGCAAGATAAGCCGAAAATAGATTTCAACCACGATGCGTACTGTAAAACGTAAAATGCATATTTTGGTACCAGGGTACATATAAATCTTATCTAATTTTCATACGTCCCGCCGATTTTCGTATTTCACTCTAAGGTTGGCGGTGTTTCTAATTTTGGTATTGGTATTTGGGTAGGTATTAAGAATTTTGCGGAAAGGGGGTGACCACCAAAAATACTGTGGCTCACGTAATGAATCGATATTTACCCACTACCTACGGCGTTCAGTTTCATGACAATTATTATAACATAACACATWACTAAATTTTTTTGTTGTTGATAATTTATGTACAATCTGTACCTCATAGGTACAATAAGAGTATTAGCTAAAACACAAAAACTAAATAAGTACTTTTAAAAGATAGTTACTGATAAAAGTAGTAATCCAGTGACGGCACTTTTAAAACGAATGTTTAAAATTAATTTACATGTATATTTATATATAATAATATTTAATATTTTTAAATATATATTCATCTCAAAGATAAAAGATCTCTACACAAATTGAGTTATAAGCATCTTGTTGGATTACCAGGAATAACATTTTGTTGAAAAATCTCTGATATGCTAAACGAATGTGGAGTCTTTTGCAATATACTATTGTTTCTTCCTTTACAGTTTTAATTTTCAAATCAGTGTGGAGGSTATGCATTGATACATAAGAGGCATAGTTGTTGATTTCCTCAATACATTAGAATAAAATTTGAAAATAAAAATCCCCTTAGTGCAAAAACAATTAAATACACCATATGAGTGACTACAATTCACATTCTAGTTTAACCATATTTTCAATATTAAGCACCAAGATGTAAAAATTTCAATCGCTAGACATTTGACTGCAAAATTTCATTATAGAAGTCCTATGTCAGTATTATTGTTTTATCATTAAACTAATCCACCACTAATCATTGAATACTTTTAAAACTATAATCAAATACATTTGTATTAAACATGATATAAATATTTAAATTTTACAGATTGTCATTTTTCTAAAATACAATTGTTCAGAATTTGTKCATTGGACCTAGAGTATGATAAAATTATAATACTAAAAGAGAAACAAATAACAGTCGACACTACTTGACTTTGTTTTTAGACAAATTTATTTGTACAGTGAATTATTTAAAAAAATATATTAAATTATAGGTATAACTGTACAAGAAAAAAGAAACAATGAATTATCGTTATTAAAATTGTTTGTTAAATTCAACCTTCTAGTTATAAAATTTAAAATCATTGGATTATATGGTGCAATAATTAATGTTCAAAGACATAGATCAAATGCATATGCACACAAACATCAGGGGCACAGTCGTTCCCATCTTGTAACCTCCTATTGCAGCCGTAAAATATTGCATGGGTGATATGGTAACAGTAATTTAAACATTAAACAGTACTAGAAAATATATTATATTGATACTCATACTATTTAGTAAGTATCGACTACAATGCATCTGTATAAGCAATGGAAAATGTGATGTAATAGAATGTGGTTAAACAACATAAAATTGTTGGGAATTCAAAAAAACTTTCTTACCATCAAGTCAACACCATAAAACACGAGTCAGATTTAAGTTTGATAGACTGAAATTTTAGTGCAAATTTACTAACAATATTGAGCCATCACAATGTATTTAATGGGCGAGTAGATATTCCCATTTTTAACATATAGATTAAAGTAAAATAAAAAACACTTAATTTTGTGCTATACTAACTAATTTTATTAATTTTATTTATATAATACAGATTAATTTAATTTGACATTCATATTACTTATACCAATTAAGATAATTATAAATAAAAGCATACCCTGTGACAAGAGTGTTATCTTATGATTAATAAATTGAGGACTAATATTAACAGTAACTTCATTGTAATGATTCATGTTCATTCAACAAGAAATTTTTTAAATCTTATTGAATTTTCAATAATTTCATTCAGTATGATAAACAAAATTATTGTAACTATTTTTTAATAATTTAATCAATTATTTCACATACTTAATAAAAAAATAAAATATGAAATTATTGAATATACAATGAAACATTCCATATAACAAAATTGCATGGGAAACACAAAAATGGTAACATATAAGTATATATATATATATATATATATATAGAGAGAGAGAGAGAAATTTGTTGGATAGAATTACATATTTATAACAGTGAAGTTCAAGGTTTTCAAAAATAATTTGTAAAATAGAAATTTTTTTTAAATGAAAGTTTGTTATAAGTAAGTTTCATTGTATATACATTCACACATCTTTTCAAACAATATAGTACTTAGATTTTTAAATAAAATTAATAAAACTAAATACTTAAAGTAGGTATCACTATTATAAGTTAACAAAATGCTGGTCCATTGATGAAAAAAAAATAGATACAATTATCCATCAATGGTTTAGCAGACACCAAAATCATTAAAATTTAACTAGAGAATAAATCAAATCTGGATGTAACTAAGACTCAGCAAATCTCAAAATAGTGGAGTTCCTGAAGACTTATATTTTTATGCAATAAACCTCCAAAATAATTTTAAAATTTAAAACAAACTAATTCATTTTTTTTTTATCAGCTTCTGTTTAATGTTTATCAGTTAACTTCATAAATATTATAATATTAATCATAGTTATTTTTATGCATTAGGCATGATGAAATAATWTGTATATATAAAAACAAATAAAATATCAATAATATAATAAATAAACAAATAATACAAGATGAAAAATATGCCCATTCATAATTTTGACATATTATAAAAATCAGTTCTGTTTCATCAAACTTAATAAAAACAAATTAAAATAATTAATAACAACATAAAAATATTTTAACTTTAATATGAAAATAAATCAACAGTTTTCAAAATAAATTGAAAAACAACCCCAAGTTGAAAATATTTGAATACAAATGAATGTTTATGTGAAAGTATGATGCATAAAAGTATTTGCAGTCATCGTATTATGAATAAAAAATTAATATTTTTAAATTTGTAGAATCAAAGTGATAACTTTATTTGCATTTATCATTTTATAAAATAATAACTGATTTTATTCAATACAATTTTTATTTTCAGATTAGTTGTATAATTTTAATTGGTTAGAAATACTTAAATTTTATTGGGCAAACATACAAGATTAATCGCTTGTGTACAAAGAAAAAATASTTATAATAATCATACAAAATGAAGTCTTTAAGTAAATACAATACATACAATTTTTGACTTGCATTATATCAATATAAAAAACAAATGGAAGTTCATTGAATATAACTAAAAAATTTACTCTAAACAAAGAAACAAAAAAATACAAAATAAAGCATAAATCAATAAGAAATAATGCAAATATGTTTATCTTTCAGTTAAATTAAAATTAAAAAATATATATAACTAGTTTTGTATTCTATTATCTTTGAAATTAAATCATAATTCTAAACAGATTACTTTTGAACAATCTAATACTAACAATAGTTTAGGAAATACTTATAACATCTAATTGATAACACTATAAGTTATAAAAATAATAAAAATTTATACAAAAGTCATATATAAAATATATACAATATACGTAAGTTATATACTATATATATAAGTAATATGAATGTTAATAACCCTAGTAGTTATACCTGTCTTCATGTTCCCAAGTATGATCATCAAGTTCTATCAAGGAATCAAAGCTATCATCGCAATGTACACACATAAATCGAACACAAGAATTATTAATTGGTAATGTATAGTGTTTAATTACACAACCATCTAAATGTTTGAGCATTGTTGTACGTTTAGTCAATATACGACTGCACACAAAGCAAAATAAACAAGACCTTTTCTCAAAAACACAATTTAAATGGGATGATGTCATGTGAGCCCAACAAGCAAAAATAAGATTTGTGTCAAATCTAAAATATACAAAAATATAACTGTTAATAAGAATTAATTGAAATTAATAGATGTTTTAAACTTACGGGCAATAAGTACACTGAAACAATCCAATAATTTTGTTTCTTAAAGAGTTAAATGCTTTCAACAAGTGTCTTCTCTTGGCCAATTGATGGACTGTTTCTGTTTTATTTTTTGATGTTTGGCAAAGTTGCAGATAATTAAAAAGGTACAGCTGTTGAGTACARGCTGAATTTCCAGGGGAAGAAACAATATTCGCAGGTTCATGTATAGACTCAAGCAGCGAAGAATGCTTTGAAGTTTCATGTTCTTGGCGTGACTTTAAACTATAGAAAAACTTATGACAAATTGGGCACTGGAACATTGGTAATGAAATACTTGTCATCTTTATCGACCAATTGCCACTTCTGCCTTCTATACATTTTCCTAGTTTATATAAACCAGAACTAAAAAAAAAATACATGTTTATAAATTTTAATATGTTCAATTGATTAGTTATGATTAAAATATACTTTTTTATCACAGCAGCACTATCAATAGCAGATGCTCTCTTGGGCCTAGGCTTTGTTAATGATGTATCCAACCTTTAAAATACATTTTTTTTTTAATTTACTACATAATATTCCACTCTACATCATTGTTATATGTTAATTTGTCTGTATACGCTATAATATATGACTTACAGTACTTACAGTAGAAAAAATGTTTTAATGAATAACTTTGAGGGTGGATTTTGAAAGCAACTTAGATATAGAAGGAACTTTTGAGTGGTTATAATTGAAAATTAGCAGTTTTTTTCAAAATAATTGTGGGGGGGGGAACAAAACAAAATGGGTAAGCAAACAATGTGCTATACATGAGGAGTCTAGAGAAGACAATGTAGGTAACGGATATGTTAAATTTGAATCTAATGATGTAAAATCATTGTAGACGAAAAACAATTCTAAATTGAGAAATTGAGGTTTTAACAGATTTAAATTGAGAACAGTTTTTTCTATCAATATTCAATTAGATTAATGTAAAATAAAAAAAATTTGTAATTTAAAGTTACAATAAAATAAACAGACTAATGACATGTATCAGTGGCGAACTTCATTAAGTTATGAGGCAGTTATATTGTCAGACCCACCACCCACCCTACACATCACAAAAAACATTAAAAATTTTATAAAGATAAAATATATTCATTCATATGAATAATAATGCTTTTTTTAACACATCAGATGATCTTTGAGGACACCCACCACCCCWCAAACTGAGGCACGTGCTTCAAATATAGTAACCTAACCTAACCTAACCTAACCTAAAATTTTATAAAGATAAAATATATTAATTCATATGAATAATAATGCTTTTTTTAACACATCAGATGATCTTTGAGGACACCCACCACCCCTCAAACTCAGGCACGTGCTTCAAATATAGTAACCTAACCTAACCTAACCTAACCTTCGGCATTGGAATAATTCCATTAAATTTCAGCAGGTGCAACATTTTATCGGTCCAATAATTGTAATGACAGATTAAGTCATATTACTCATATTTAAAGCTTTAATTCAATTAGTAATCGCATTGCTCGCGTGTACTTTTTATATTTTATAACAGTATAACATAAACAAATATCAAAATCTTTAGGTACCTATATTTTAAATACTATGTGCTGTATCTGTACTATGATATATTATACATATAAAAATTTAATATTTATAAAAAATTAATTAAATTGATAACAAAATTTTTAAATGAGTTTAAAAAAATTCAACAAATCAATGAAATTAAATTGGTATTGTWTTTCAATAGGTATAAAGTTCAGCATCTGCAGGTGCAAAAGCATATCTTTGCACCTGCAACATAATACCGGGGGGTGCAAGTGCACCGTTGTGCACCCCCGTAATTATGCCACTGCTGTCATGTATAAATAACTATTAAAAAATATATATTACTGTTCTGCATTAGGTGAAATCGATGATCTTAATAGTTGACCCTTTGATCTTAGGTTACTTTCAGCAATGGAAGTTTTTCGAGTCTGTTTTCTAAATGTAAAAGAAAAGGATATTTATAAATATATATATATGTATATATTAAAGCAAATAACTATGTATTATTTAAAAGCTAACACCTCAGTAATATTAGTTTTTGAAAAAAATGAAATTTATCCATACCTTGTAGTTTAAAATTGTGAGTGGAGGATAATGTATTGGTATTTCATTTCAAAATTATAAGGTGGATCAAGTAAAACTCAATTTGTTGGTTGGAATTAAAAAGAATGTTATTATAATATGAAAAAAAATCAGAATTAAGTTAATAAAAAAAATTGTACTTTGAACTTAGTTTAACTCGAAGTTATTATTTTTATATTTCAAACCAATATTCAATTAGATTAACGGCAAATAAAAACAAAAAAGTATTGTTAATTTGTAATAAAAACAGTGGCAGCTCATGTATATGTCCACAAGTGCACATGCACTACCTACCCAAACTTAGAAAAATTGAAAACATAAATTATAATAATACAACTAAGTACCTTCAGTGTTATTACTTATTAAGATCATTTTTTAAAATATAAAAATATAAATTCAGAATATTATGAAAATAATATAATATTTGGATTTGGTTTTTTCGGAGGCCAAACAGCCGGACAGTTGTCCACGGCGGAACGGTATTGGTGTATATTATAGTAGTGCAGTAGTGTACGCAATAGTTGTACACATTTGTACAGTGTAAAAATTAAAACAAGTCGAAACACGCCACCCACGTTATAATGAGATTGATGTGCACATTTGTTTTGTGTACATAACCAAATAACTTGTTTTCAGTGAATTATTTTCGACGTTACAACACCGGCATCAGCATTATAATTTGTCTTTACTTTCATTCACTTATTATATTCTAATTAGCTGATGTTACTTGATCATTATCAGAAATTCAAAACAACAATCATGTTAAACAAAATAAAAGGTAATTGGTAATTAACTAAAATTTGTAAACAATATGTAATATAATATTGGTTATATTTTTTTTGGATTTGCACTACTTAATTAAAAACCCATGAGTGGCCACTGAATAAAAAAGACTGAATAATGACAACTATAAGTTAGTAAGCAGTAAAAAATAAATTACTTTTCTATAGTTGATGATGTAGAGGATCTTAATATTTTACTTTCGTTTTTGGGATTTTGTTGAGCAATAGAAGTTTTCCGAGTCTGTTTCCTAAATATAAATAAAGGGTTATTTATTCATATATTCATGTAATATATAYGTATATTAAGCAAATAATTATGTATTACTTAGAAGCTACAGCCTTTCTGGGCTTAGGAGTTTTCTTTTGTCTTATGATTGGTTTTCTTCTGTAACAAATATTATATTCAATATTTAAGTTTAACAACAAAATTTARATCAATCCATAATATCAACCAACTTTTTTGGAGTATTGTCTTCTTTAGTGGTCAAGTCAACKGTTTCATCAGTTGAGAATAAAAAATGGAATCCAGTATCTGGTAAAACTCTTGATGGTCCAGGTTCTGGAACTGGATCTGGTTGTGGTTGTGGCTCTGGTTCAACCAGTAATGATTCAGTTGGCTCACTATCTAAATCAATACACTCTACTTCCTGATTTAGAGGAGAATCCATATCAGAAGTCGACATGGGCATATCTGGAGTAACTGTCATTTCTACTGCAGGTGGAATATTTGTGGATGGTGCATTGTTGCGTAAATAAACCACTTTTCTTAAGTTAAATAAACATTTTCTATTTAAATTTATTAGTATAATATATTATTTATTCACTCAATACATACTTTTTTAATTTAAGGAGTTTTTTTGTTTTTTGTTTGTATTTTTTTTGTTTATATGAATTATAAATGTTGGTTGTAACATTATTATTGGTATTATTAGTATGTCTAACTCGTGGTTGTGATGGCACCCACTGGTTTAAGGGATTTATAGAATGTTCAAGACCTTGTAAATTATTGCCATCATCATTATTATTATTGCCATTACCATTGTTATTATTGTCATTATGATGATTATTATCATCATCATCATCATCATCATCATCATCCAAGCAAATCACTTCATCATCACTAATTTCACTGTACAAATTTAAAATCAGTTATATTTAATCAAATATTTATATATTTTAATTTTAAAATGAAATCTTGATTCTTTAACAAATTATTATTAATTATAATATACTAACTTTATTTCTCCATTTCCATTTGATTGAACACTATTATTATGAATATTTACTGTACTTTGGACTCTAAAAAAACAAATAAATAATATAATATTTATATTAATACAATAGAATCTGTTTAAAAAACATGAATTATTTCCAAACTTATGTTTCAGATTTGCATTTTTATAGAATTTTAAACTTACGTAGAGGGAGTATTCACATTAGATTGAATTAAACGTGTAGCAGAACCAAGATTTAGTACAGTATTTTGTTCACTAAAAACATAGTACATACATATTAATATAATGTAAATATGTATACATATCTTATCTATAAAATTATTTTGTACCCTATGAACAACTAATTATTATATTTGATCTATAATATACTATTAACCTAAAATACTACTACTAACACATACAGTGAATATCACTTATCCTAATCATTGGTTAATATCAAAACGTGAAAAATATCAGCATTATATTAAGCATTGAGTTAAAATAATATCTAGAAGAAATATTTGAGTTTACACGATAGCACTTCCAATTTGTTGTTTTATTTACCTACATTTGTCAATTAAAAGAAGTTCATTGTGAGGCACATAAAATAGAGGAACAAAAAGCTGGGAGTATCATTTATATATGGTATATATATAAACAATATATATATGGTAGATTGTATAATTTGAATGTAACTGATTGAGTAGGTCACCCTAATGGAATTGTTAAATTTGAATTCAATGAACTATCACTATACACACAAAAAAAGATTCTGTACAAAGAAGATTGACAATTTTAACCTCAAACCCTTATACTAGTACTTATAAGGTATCTTATATCAAAATTCGAGAAATATTTTTAACCAAGAGATATCAATTTTATGAGCATTTATAAAAAAAATTCAAGTATCAATAATTTATAAGAGGCAAAAATAGTTTTTAAACTACAATACAAATATTTAGTAAATATTTCAAATCTTTACAATTACTTTTTTAAATTATAGCAAGTAAATAAATTGATTTTGTCAGAAATTTATGTCGAGCATAATAATATTCCCGCTTGAAAGCTGTTTTTTACAACTGTTATAAATTTTAGAAGTATTTAGAACTTACTATCTACTTGTAGACCATATTAATAAAATTATGTATGAAAAATTCTACATAAACTTTGAAGGTTGGAAGAAATCTTTAGCCTTTTTAGCTTTAAAACAGTAGTCAGGAAAAAAATAATAGTAAAACCAGCAAGGAATATAAAATAAAGTAGAAGATAGAGCCTTGTAAAATATTAAAAATGTTTTCTTTAAATATGCCAGTAGAATATTACTTTACAATTTTACATTATAAAACATTCCTATAACTGAAAAATTCGGTTTCAATGTTTTTTTTTTTATAAAAATTATTTAAATGTTTTACATATTACACAGTACATAAAGTGAATTTTTAGACTTTTATATTACATGTATATACTTACACAAGTCTTCCGTTCACAAGTAATGGAGGTGGTTTATTACTTAATACGCAAAATCTACTCGATTTGATTACATTATTTTTACAACTAAATAAAAAAAAAAAATTTTGTTAACTGTTTTAAGTAATAAGTTAATTAGTAGGGCTGGGCTGATAAACAAACCGATATCGATTATTGGCCGATAATGGCAATATCGGTTTTATCGGTATTGGTTTTTTTTTTAAAACCATATTTGAACTGATATGAAAAAAAACAATTTATCATACATAGATTAAATATTTGATTGTATTAAAAATTAAACAAGGAATGTTTAATAAGTGAAAAAGGGAAAATTATTATTTTTTAAATATTATGTGATTTGTTTTTTATTATAATTTTTATTTGTTTTATTAAAAAGTTAAAATTATACTTATAGACTATAGTTAAAATTTATAAATGTATAACTTATAAATTAATAAGTTATAATTTATTATCAACTAACAAGAAAGAAAATGGTTCATTTAAAATTTTTAACTTTGTTATTTAATATTTAATATTTATTATTTATGTACAACTGTGTTAACTCTATTTGTATTAAATATTAAATATTTATTAATTATTAAATTTAATCATTATATAATATATTAATATATAATAATATTGATTATTACAGTATTATTAGTTGCTACTTAGTACTTATCGGTAAGTATTATTGGGTATTTTATAATATCGGTTCATGCTTTTGGATAGAAATTCAAAGTTTTGAATACATCGGTTATCGGATTTAAATCTGCAAAACATATCAGTTTATCGGTTAAAAGTGATATCGGCCCATCCCTATTAATTAGCATTAGTATTTCTTTTAAGTGACACCAGTTTTAAAATATAAGTTGAGTTAAAAGAAAACGTTGGATTCAAGTATTTAAAAATAATTTTAAGGATCTCTCTTACAAGATGGTATCTATCTTTTACTAACATAACACAGCAAATTTACGTTAAGCAGTTTTTGTTTGATTTAACTTTTTTTTTTAGTCTGTAAGAAAAGGAAATTTAATAATATGTTAAAAGGACACACATATGTTGTCTCCATCTTAAAAATATATAACATAGCAAAAACTGTTTTGCGCAGGAAAAAACTGAGAAGGCTACTGCCATGACTAAGAAACAAAATGTCACACTATAAACATAAGAGTATTTACTGTGCAATATTGTTTTTACTTTTTTGAAATCACTTATTCAGGTTTAAAATAACGAATTTTTAAACAGCAAAAACTTTTTTTGTGATATAAAAAACGATGTTGCACAGTAAAATTTCTTATCTTTATAGTATGAAAATTTTGTTTCTTTAGTCTTCTCAGGTGTTTTCCATGCRAAACCGGTTTTGCTTTATTGTGAATGACGGAAAAAATTTGGAACCTTGGGGTTTTGCGGAACACAGTTTAAGAAACGCTGCTCTAAGCCACTGTCTATTAAGTCTTCTGCGTAAATTACCTGGAAGTAAGATGGAGAACAGTTGTTTGATCATTGGATTAACTGTGATATTTTAATTTTGAATGAAGTTTTAAGTAATAGAATTTTGCTTGTTGATTAAGGTTAGGAAGTTTTTGTAAAGAAAATTATTTGTGAAGTACCAGGGAGAAGACGTTATTAGTTGTAAGCAGATATATTGAAACAATTAAAGCATTTTAGTATATGATGGTTTTATAGAATCCCATAACTAAATACCGTATGTGAAAAATTTTTATTGTCAATAATTTCAAAGAAATTTTCATAGCTATAATAAATAGCTTAAAAAAATATTTTAAAAATTGTACATTGTATGGATAATACTAATATAAATATTTAATGAAAAATCTATGTGTTAAAAGTAATTAGTGTTTGAATTACACTAAAACAGTTAAATCAATTTTCAAAAATTGGTTTTACATAAAACCTGATTTCCTTCATTTTCTTTTAAGTTTTTCCAAACAATTTCAAAAATTACTTGGAATTTTCAATTTTGAATTCAACTATAGATTCAATTTTCTATCAGAAAAGTTGGTTGATGTCGAAAATTGGAGCATTTTATTTAAACAACCCCTTATATTATGAAACAGAAGAAAACACATCATTGAAAATAATACATTTAACGCTACGCTCAAAATCTAAAATAACATTTTTGTTATAAATAATTTGATATTTATATTTATATTTATAAAATTATAAATTTATGGTTTGGATACCACTACTACAAAAATTCAGCTAGACGCACGTGATCATTTTCCTCGCCTTCGATTATAATAGTAAACATATTTTGTACATTTAAAAACTATAAATATTCAACATTTTTCTAAATATCACTTAAAATTAAGATGAGAAATTATTATATTTTTTTTCAATACTTAAAATTCTTWAAAAAATACAATATTATTTTATTTTACTTAATATTCGTAATATAAAGAATACTTAATACTAATCTATTTAAGGTTCAAAATTAAGTAGTACTGTTAGTTTTAAATATTATTAATCATATATCATTTATCAAATACTTACACGATAGGAAAGTTTGTTCTAGATTGATTTATATTATTCATGGCAAGTCTATTATTTACATTATTTGTTCCACTAAAAAATAAATAATAAAATTATATTTAAAACATATTAACATTTAAAATATTTTTATATGAATAAAATTCAAATTAAAGAACAATTGAAAACAATAATATTTGTAAAAAATGCATWGTTACAATATAAGGTAAAATCTTAATGACATATTATTATTATACTTCATTTTGTTTTAAATATTTCACTTAATACATACAAAGGTTCATTCACGTATGTATAGGGTCAAATAACAAAAAGTTGATATGTATATTATCATTCATCAATTATTATTAATGAAAAATAAAGAGAAAATGTCGTGATAAAAATTAAAAATTAAGCAAGGTAATTAATAAATAAAAGAGAGGCCCCTCAATAGATACAACAAATATGATGCAGTAAGTGAACAGGTTATATTGAAAAATYAAAAGAGATGAATGAAATAGAAAAAAAAACTTTGAAATCAAAATTTTAAGAACTAAGTCTATTGACTGAATGTATGAGAAACCAGAAAATTAGAAGAATGTTATCAGATTACCTAAATTGAGTAATTGGATGATGGTTTATTCATCAATAGGATGGTAAAAATATAGCAAGAAGGTAGCTAAATGTACTGTAAAAATTCTTTAAGTAATGATCTAAATATTCATAAAACCTATTAATAGTTAAATCAGTCAAAGGCAGGTTAATGCATAAAATAAGGATCACACATTTTTAATTCATGTGAAATTCTTTGAGTGAAGACAAGCATAAATTCTTTGAACCGAATGTCCTGAATACCAGGACTTTGGTGCATATTATAAAGCCAAAATTAAATAATAAATTCCCAGAGAACTCTAATGGAAAGTTAATTAGGTGAAGTAAATCAGAGACTGGTAAATGAAAGTACATAATTTAGAATTAAGATAGCATAATATTATATGCTAGTGATATCCCACATAAAATTGAAAACCAATCAAAAGTAGTTTGCATTAGTAGTGAATAAGAATAGTCATTTAGTGAAAAGGTGATACATGATAATCATAGGGCTTAAACAGATGCAACAGAATATAAGGGAGTGAGAGACAGTATTTCATTCAAAAGGTTACAAGATCAAATAAAAGGTGCATAAAACGAGGCCAGGCATTATCATGTTCAGAATACTAATATCACATGATGGTCTTTATTTCTTTTGAGTACTAATTTTGCGGTCTACTTAATAAAATATTCAAAATCTTTGAAGTAGAAATAGCCTAATGTGACTAGTGCCTCTTGCAYGATAACATTCAATYTCATTTCATTTGGATAGAAAACTATCATCTGACCCTTACAATCCAGATCTAAGACTGTCATTTTCACATTTTCACTAAGATTAAGGAGTTTTTAAGCAGAAAAAATTTTCTGGCAACAAATAGATAATATAAACAGAACAGTGAAAAAAGATGTCATCAAAGTTATTTAACATAAAAAACCAAAACTGGTGCCATCCCTACAAAAATAGATAGATTAGAACAGTTATTATGTACAAAATAATTAAGCCTATAGTTTCATGAAAATATATGTATTTTTTTTTTATTAATAAAAATACATACGACAATATAGGCCAATAGAAAACAAGTATTATTTTCAATGATATGTTGTATGTACTAATCGACCTTAAAAAAATGTTGTAACCTTAAATTTTGGTAAAAGACATTGGGTCAACACTTATCATTTTAACCATTACACTATGCAAATAATCTAAAATAATTTCTATATGTAAAATATTTATAACTAAGTATAATATTAAGTATAATACTTAAGTATTCATAAATTGTATAACTAATTATTAATATGATAAATACCAAAATGTTAGGTTATGTTAGGTACACTATAAACTTACAGATTAGTACCATTGGTAATGATACGATAAACATTTCTACCAGGAGTAATTGTATTACTTGAATTGTTTGTGCTTCTAAAAAAAAAAAAAAAAAAAAATGGTTTAAATAATTAGATACCTTAGTAATGTTATGAAAAACATTGACATTAGATTTATTATATACTTACATTACAGGAATTGTGCTTAATATAATTTTTCTAGGTAAGCTAGAAGTAGTAGAATTGTTTATATTATTTGTGTTTCTACAAAAAAAAAAAAAACCAATGATAGATAAATAATGATAAATTCAATAGTCCTATACAGTATATTATTCTACTATAATAATAAACAATATTTTATAATTTTTCAATGTAACTTACAACATTATATTTAAATTAAAAACATACAATATATTTTATTAACTATCCAACCTAACTTGTTAATTAATATATCACAATGATACATTTACAAGATAAAAACATAAAACTATGAGATACAAAATAATTGGTCATTATTTTACTATGATGATTGATGAACATTCAATGTACAATTCGGAGTGATGCCTAATAATGTTAAACTCTTTAAATATTCAACTACTTAGCCTAATATTGTATTGTGATATTTTTGTAAATTAATCCGAGATTCAAAAAGTTTTTGATTTAATATTGGAAATGAGTCCATATAGAGATAACAACTAAATTTTCTTGTAAACAATTAAAAAACATGTTCTTAAAATTTACCAATTAATAGAATTAAGATTCATCAGAAACACTTATAACAACAATCTAAATTAATTATAGTTACAGGGTGATTCTTTTAAGTGAGTACACTAATTATCTCGAAAAGTATTTACTTTTTTCAAAATATTTTTTACATGGTTTCAAGTTGTTAAAAAACCAACGTTTTTATTAAAATATTATATTTTTAAAGATTTTTTATCCTAATCATTTTTTAAGTTATTTACTTTTTTTGAATGACAACATAGAGTTTTAATTTCATATTCCAAAGCAGAATATTTTTCTAAGTATTTTGATTCATAAAAATCGAATTTAGGACGAGTAGTTTATGAGTTATATGTATTTAATGTTTAGACAAGCGGAGTAGTGGACAAACATTATGCGGGTTAACCCCGTACCACTCCACTCTGTCAAACTTAAAATACTTTAGTATTATATTTTAGTATTAGGGTGATTGAACTATTATAATAATTAGAAGTAAGAATATTAACTAGTGAATCTTTTAAGAGTTAAGATAATTTTAAAATTTACAGTTAAACTAGTATCATAACTTCATTGGCGTAATTCCATTAAATTTCAGCAGGTACAAAATGTTATCGGTCCAACAATCGTAATGATAAATTAAGTTATATTATTCATATTTAAAGCTAATTGCATTGCTCGCGTGTACTATAGGTATCTTTATATATTTGATAACAATATAACATAAACAAATATCACAATCTGTATGTACCTATATTTTAAATACTATATGTGCTGTGTCTGTACTATATGATACATTGATACATTATACATACATATAAAAATATAATATTTATATGAAATTAATTAAATTGATRACAAAATTTTTAAATAAGTTTAAAAAAAAAATCAGCAAATCAATGAAATTTAGTTGGTATTGTATTTCAATAGGTATAAAGTTCAGCATCTGCAGGTGCAAAAGCATATCTTTGCACCTGCTACATAATACCAGGGGGTGCAAGTGCACCGTCGTGCATCCCCGTAATTAAGCCATTGCGTAACTTGCTGTAAAATTAAATTTAAAAAATACCTAGGTATGATGTTTATAAGGTAATATTCTTACTTTTAAATTTGATAACAGGTAAATATTTTCTAATATTAAACATAACATAATTAAATGAATTATCCAGAACAATTTGCCATGATATGCATTTGTAAGATGACAAAAATGTATTGTAATACATTTTTAAGACTGAGAACACGCTTGCAGTTGTATAGTATTCTTAAGATAATAAATAAGAATTATTCTAAGTTCGACTCATTGCACAACTAACAATAAAATTAAACTATATTATCTACTTACATATTATGCTCATTTGTAGAAGGGACATTTACTTCAAGTACTGGCAAATTTTCTGGAATTCCATTAGCAACAGATTGATCATTTTCAATATCAAATTGAGTTGTAATACTATAAAATAATACATGATAAGTTAACGTATTTAACATTTAAATTTTAAACTACCTATAACAAAATAAATATTATTGATAATGCATTTATTTATAAATGATATAGGTACTCTATTTTTGGAATATTATCTAACCAAAGTAATATATTAATAAATACATCATTGTACCTAATATAATTCTTTTAACATTTTCTCCAGGTATAACAATATTCTATTTTCTTATTCAAAACAAAAAAAAATAAATATATATAATTTTTTTTTTATAAATAATTGTATTTACAATCTGTAATAATATAATAAAACAATAACTAAATTTGAGATTTAGGTTTGGAGGCTTGAGTGTAGGGTGCGTCCGTTGACACTACTTCAAACTGGTTTTTTTTTTTTTATTTAGCGAAGTAAATCAAGAGGCCAATTCCATTTTAGTTGACGGGGAGGGTTATTCGAGAGAGTCTTAGAGGAGAGGTTTGAAATTAGCAGGTTTGGATGATTATTTGTTTTAGAATGAAATTTTTTATAGTGTGTTGAAGCGAGGGTGTGAAGAGTTGGAATGTTCAAGTCTTTATGGATTGTATGATTACTAACGTACCAAGGTGCATTTGTCAGTAGACGGAGACTAATCGACTGAAAGGATTGGAGAAGATTTAGGTTTGAGTTTTTGGTTGAGCCCCAGATTTAAATACCATATGTCAATGCAGGATGAATTAATTGTTTGTATACAAGAGTTTTGTCACTAAGTAATATTTTAGAACGGAGAAGTTGACAAAGTTTATGCGGTTTTAGTTGCATTGATTTTCTTTTGGTTTTGATGTGAGTGGCCCATTAATCTTTGGTCTAGATGAATACCTAGATATTTTACTGAACTTTCTCAAGCGATAGTTTTGTTATTGAGAGTAACCGAGGGGCTGTTATTTGGTCGAAGCTTAAATGTGATATGTGATCATTTATTTTCATTTATTTTTTTTCTCCATAGATTAAACCAATTTTGTAAGTCATTTAGATGGGATTGAAGGTTCCCCGTTGCCGTATTCATATTTGGATCAAAGGATGTTATGACTGTGTCATCGGCAAAAGTAGCTAGGCTAGTAAGGTTAGAGTGAGGAATATTAGATGTGTAAATATTATAGAGCGTGGGTGCAAGAATGCTACCTTGGGGGATGTAATTATGGAAGTTTTTTATTCGTTTTAAATAAATAAGGTACCTATTAATAAATTGTGACATTCATATCAGATACTTTTAATACTTTAAAAATTAATATACCTACTAAACTTACAATCAATTAATATGTTTCATTCAAAAACATAAGTTATTTTCATGATGGAAAAAAAATACATATTTTTTAAATAGGTTTTTATAATATTAAGCTAGGTAGGTATTACTAACCTGTTGTGGTCATTAATACCAACATTTTCAAAATGTCTTGGATTTTCACTATTATCATTCAAAGAATTTGTTACTGCATCAAATAAGCCTTTCACATCTAACTGATATTGATTAAACTATAAATATAAAATCCAATAAATTAAGACTCTTAATATAAACATACTTAATTAAATAACTATAATTATATAGTAGTCATGATTATAATGTGATTAATACTTTAGTTTAAATTTGTTATTACCAAAGCACTAATAGGTATTTTCATAAATTTGTTATATTCTGCTCTGACTACATCATTTGATGGTGAATGTTCTAAGCTTTCGATGTATTTTGCATTATTTATTCGACATTTAGTTGCAAATTGGAAATTAACTTCAACTTGCCCATAGCATATTCTACAAATATACTTTAGAGAATCGTGATCAGTGACCTGTAAAAAGTAAAAAAAAAAATCCAATTAAATTTAAGTATCAATTATAAAATATTAGCAAAATATTTATTGAAATACCAGGAAAACACATTTATGGAATAGGGATATGAGTCTTAGTCGAACTCTAAGTATAATTTGAAAATAATACTACCTGTTTTTTGCAATACCCTATTAGTTAAATATTAGATAAATATTCAAGTGCCTATTTTACAATGAGTCAAATAATAATTGTCAAAAATATAGGTATCTTTATCGATTAATAATATTTATGCATAACAAAAGATTGGTACACTTAGTCTTAGTTTTGTTCCTTACATACTTTTTTGGATTTAAAACATAACAAGCAATATTAGTTTTAGTGAATAGTGTGTCACCAATTTGATAGAAAATTTGAACCCAATTTCGAGAAAAGCAGTTTTCTACAATCTAGAGCAGTGGTTCTTGAGCTTTTATGGTTTACTGCACATTATTATACATCATAAGTTTGCATGCACACTCTACACAAATGCAATGAAATAAATTACTGTTCTCAATATTTTTTTCCAGCATAATTATTTATAACAAATATCAGAAACTTCTYGCGGCACATCTAGTCAATCTTTAGGCACAGTATTGTGCCGTGGCAGACCGGTTGAGAACCACTGATCTAGAGCAAGTATGAAAATATTATTCAACATTAAAGAGGCAAGTTACTATTTAAAGGCCAAGTTTAAAGACTATTATTTTCTAATTATTMAATTTTCTAAGTTGTTTCTTGAAGAGTAGGTAAATACAACTAACTACCTACATACCGAGCTACATACAGAGAATTATTAAGTAAATAAAGAATGTTCAGTAAAAAAGGGATTCAAAAAGATACTTTTAATGAGTTATTATTTCTTTCAAATGTATACTATTAGGCTGAGATTTAATCATAGATGTTAGAATTTACTCTGCAATCCATCTAAAGATTTCATTGAAAACAATATGGAAGCAATATTTATGCATTCTGAGTTCAAGTCATTCTAGGTGGAGAAGGTTGAGGAGGAGGCAAGGTCTAACGATGTGCACATACAAGGTGGCGGGAAGGTTTTGAACAACCGCCTGTCACAGTACTGTAGGTAATTTTAAATGTTTTATGGAAAAGGATGAGTATTTTAAAGCCACTAACATGTGGAGGCTAAGCCACAATTTTTGAGATTTTGAAAATTTAGTCAAAATAGTGCATAAGGTATATTATAAATCTTTAGTATTTCTTAACTCATATTATAAAAACTTGTAAGGAACATTGTGTTAAAATTTTAAGCATTTTGACCAAACATACAAATTTAATTGATATTTAGGTATACCGAGTGTCTTATGAGGATATAATCATTAACTATAGAGGGGGACTGCATCCGGATGAAAACCATATTTTTGCCGTTTTATCCGTAAATTAAAAAAAATGTATAAAAAAACCGATTATAAATCATGAGATTAATGAAAATCAAATGTTAAAAGGTCAACACTTTTCAGCAAAATTAACTCTATAAAATAGGTATCTTTATTTTTTTCAAAATTAAAAAAATTTTTTAATCTTTTATAACCAAATAATTAAATAAAATACATGTAGCCATTGTCCATGTTATATTTATCATCTCATTAGATATTGCAATGGGTAAATCCTTGCAAGATATACTGTAGAAAAAAAAACTAAAAAAATTGAAAATAACTTTTAAATAAATAACTCTAAACTAGTCAAAAAAATTTCATGGATTTCAAATGATAAAATAACATTTAGTCATTGGCGCAAATAGGTGGGGCTTGGGGGGACTTAGTCCCCCCCCATATTTTTGCCAAGTACCCCAGTTCAAAAGTCAATAATTAGCGCTGAGAATATATAACTTTTAGGAAATATTATAGGAGGGGCTTTAGTTCCCCCAAAATAATTTATCTATTTGTGCCTATGCATTTAGTGAACATTTTCATAAGGATTACCTAGGTATATGATATGTGCATTATCCACAATAGACGAATTAAAATTAATTTATAATTTATAATTTGTAAAARAGGCTGTGGATATCTACTTCCATAGCCCCCCCCCWCCCCGTAAAAAACGCCACAGTGAAGAAAATAATAGATGATAATAAAATGAAGATGTCAGTAAACCTTTTCATGAGTTTTCAAAAATAATATTTCTTAAGGTTTAATAAGCAATGGTGGMCTCAAAATAGTAATGTCCTCGATCTAGTATTTCTAAAATCATTCTGAGAATCTGATACGTAAAATCAAAAGAAATAAAAGTACTGTTCTGTAACAAAGTAATGGTAAAGGAAGTGAAATCCGTAATTTTTGTTAAAACTATTAAACCTGTTAAACTTAATAAGATATAAATTACTTAGGTAGAAGTACTCAACTAGAAATCAACTGAAGGTAAATAACTAACATTTTGGAGTTTTTTAACATAGAAATATTAGAAGACACCACATTTACATGACCACCCCAAAAAATATTGAATATTTTTTAATCTCTCCACTTCTTATTTTGAGAGAAAGATTTAAAGCACCCTTAAGATTCAGTTGAATCTCTGCCTATTTATCTCTGTCTGACAAATGTAATACAAAGCAAAAACTATTTTGAATGAGAAAGAACTGAGAAAGCTACAGTCATAACTAAGAAACTTCATCACATAAATAGGAGAATTTCAGCTGTAAAATATTATTTTTCTTCAATATTGGAACTGTAAAAAAAGTTAATTAAGTTTTAAAAACACAAAATTAATGGTTTTGAAACAATGAAAAGTTTTTTTGTATAATTTTCGTCAAAAATATAAATACAATGGGTATTTCAATAGGTATATTCTGTTCCATGAGAGACGAAACTCGATCTGTGCATCTAACTAATGCCGGTGACAGCGTGGAGGCTTAATAACTCCCACTCTTCACTATCTGAGCGCTATATATGCAATGAAGTCACTTCTGACTGCTGACCTGACAGTAGACAATTTTAACTGAATGGACAGAAATGGTGGGGGATGAGCATCATAGGACAAAAAACGAGTTCCTTCTTTCTTGGAACTGAGTATAATGTTTTAAATTATATTTTATATCAATTTGGAGTTTTAACTATCACTACAGCTTGATTGGTTCTATTAAACACAAAACAGATTTTGATATGTCATACATTTGTAAGACGGAAAAAACACGTGTATAACATGTTTTTATTGTTTTTAAGATTTTCACACACTGCAGTGAAAGTGGTAGAGGTAAAATTCAGYTTTACACAATTTACTGCCACTGCCAAGATAGAATTTTACCCTCACCCACTGTAGTGTGTGGTTACCTACCAGGAGTTGTATTAAACCAACAAATTGGTTACCTAATGAATTACAGGTACTAATAATAACCTATAGCGATATTAATAATTAATATGTTTCTGAATTAAATTCAAAGTTGGATAGATCTATCTGTGGCTGGATCTAATCATTGACAATGAGGTATTGGCAAGGAGACAATAATACCAAAAGAAATATTTCACTATAAGAAGACTTCATATTTCACAAATATAAATAAAAGATTATTTTTATTACATACAAATTACATTGTGGCAGTTGTTGGTCCAGAAAAAAAAAGCATACTTTAAATAATTTTGAAGGAATTTTTATTATTTTTTTAAATAAGCATCAATTGAAAACTAATTAGTCTACCAAATTATTTTTGAACACATACAAAAATAAATTGTTAAAAATTCATTTTTTCAGATAAATATAAAAATGTTATGCACTCAGTGTTTGGAACGTTCACAAAAAAAAAAATTCAGTCACATTCATATCAGGGGCGGACTGGGATAAGAAATCTGTCCGGGCAATCTTAAGTAGAGGCTCAAAATTCCACGAATATCATTATACTGCATAAGTTTATTTATGACAAACTAACCAACAGTCCAGCCTCAATCACTAATCACTACACAGTTGTACACATGGGCCCAATATACYTGTGAGGGCGTGTTTGCCCTCTCGCACTTCTAGTCTAGTCCGCCCAGGGTTCATGTTCAGTCCTTAAAAAAGGAACTCATTTACGTTTATGTTTTTTTTCAAAGAAACGCATTCACGTCACGTTTTTTGAAAAAATGAACACATTCATTAGGTCGTTCATCTAATTTTTTGCATATGAATAGTTTACCAATAGTTTAAATATAAACCTAGAAACATATAGGACTCAACCAAAAAATAAAACACGAGATAAAACACATTTTAGACTTTAGAGCATATACATTTTCTAAAGTACCAAAATTATATACATACCTATATTAATAAAATAGTAAATAAATTGAGTCTTAAAAAATTGTCCAAATTCATTAAAAATATATACGTAGCTCACGCTCTATTGGAAAAAAATGAGTGACGTTCACGTATCATTCTCTAACTATGTACGTGAAGAATGTGTGAACGTGCATTCATGAACGATATTCTTTCTAAACACTATATGTACCTATGCTTAACATTTTAAATGGTAAATATGCCATAGTCGAATTGGTCACATCATTACATCAATATTTTAAAACAATCAAATTCACATAATAGATAGACACCTACCAAATGTTAATAAAAATAAGCAATAAAGGTAAGAAAGTACAATTTTAATTTATAATTAGYTAGTTATGTTTAATAAAGGTAATATCTTACAATTAATTTTATACTTAGTAAAATAAAAGCTATAGGTAGACGATACTATTTTTATTTTATTTTTGAAGTGGGCCCTCAGTTAGTAGAAAAATCAAATTAGGGATATGGCATGGATTTAGCTAATTGTTAGCATTGTCATCAGTCCTTGATAGTAAATAACTCGGTAAATAATGAACTGAGTATTTAACAGCCACATACATGCAATTTTGAATCATTATAATATAATATAATTGAATACAATTAAATATTTGAGTTTTAAAGATATAGATATTTGCATTTTTAAAACTAAGATAGGTGTCGATTAAAGTTGAAAGAAAAATATTTTGACACAGTCCAACACAAACAACAGACCAAATATTCAAGTCCAAAAATGTAGGTATAGTAAAAGTATTAATAAGTCATTAACAAATTAATTTACCTTGTTATAAACCTATACTTAACATTAAAATATATAAATGTATAGTGTGGTATCAACTATAATGGGCAAAATTAATGATTAAAATCCATTATAATTAATTAAAAACTTACATAGGTAGTGCACTTGTGATAATAAATCCTTTAAATTAATTTTAATATTAACATTTTAAATAATATAAGCAATAATATTAAAAAACACTCCATTAATGACAAACAAAAACATAGTAAGATATCATTTTGGTTACTAATTTTTAAACTACTGATATTATGAGAAAAATATTACGATATATATATTTTTTTTTCTATTGAATTATTTAGTTATTAACAAGATATATTTAGTATATTGTATTATGGATAACAAATCTGAGTTATGGGGTTAAAGTTTTTACATGTCTAGGCAGGGATATAAGTATATTCTATAATATAGCAAACCAGGACCTTAATATAATATTATAATATAAGATAGTCAAAATAAATTAGGTACTTTAAAAAGACATTTCTATGACAATATACAATATATGTAAGTACTTACATAGGTACCGATCAATGTATATTAGYTTTTAGAAATATATTCTAAAGATTTATTTGATTATACTATTGGTACCTATTATTGGTAAYCTATCTAGTGTATATTATTGTACAATTTAGTAAAAGTTCTAATAATAATAAACAAATAACTATTTTCTAATTTGTTGTGAGTACCTTAAACATTATTATTTTTTTTTGTATATCTATAAAGAAGCACTTTCTTAGTATAACAGTAGTTTAACCATTGACAATTATTTTAATCAGAAAAATTAACAAGGTTAAAACTTTTGTTTTACTGAGCACACTTTTTTTTGTCCTAGCGTATGTAATAAATCATTTTAAAACAATGGTTAAGTCAGAAATTGGACATTAGACTTAGTTTTAAAGTTATAGCTAATTTAAATATATAGTATTTTCATAAACACGAGGCATGGTCACTCACTTCAGCATTTTCTGGACAATTAAAATCAAAACGAATCCCTATAATTGATTTATGAAACCACCTATGGAGGGTCTTAAATTTCAAATAGTTATAACTTCAAAACAAAGTCCAAATACTGACTTTCCAAATGCTATAAACAAACAACATGGCATAAGTTTGTAACAGCCAAAAAACTGAAAGACTGACAATGATGCACATACACAAAATAATAATAATAATTTTAATAATAATAATAATAATAATAATAAGTGCTAATACCTATGTCATAAGGTGCACTTACTATGATTGATAGGGCACTGAGTATTTTCGCGCGAATTAGTTCTTTCTTTGCCTCCTCCGACGATAAATCGATGACGACTTCCTTGTCGTGGTACATGCGATAGCATATTCGGCACTTGTAAACGTTTTCCATGGTGAAACAGAACCTTTGGCGGAGTTTGGACACAGAAGATCAAACGACATACGACAAACACGAGTCTGGAAGCCCGACTACGAGGGGTAAGACAGCGATGATGCCACAGGAAAAACGACCATTAAACCGTGAGCAACTCGATTTTCCCAATAACGGCGCTAACACGGTGGTTTGAAACCAATAGTCTGAAACCAAATGTAATGTAAACGTAAACGTACCTACCGGAACAGGATAATTTTTTTGGAGGCGAAACGAGTCTACACGAACCAAGACGCACACTCCGACGAGGAAAATCAAAGATTACGGTTTTCCAGTGATGGTTCGTGCACGGAAACGCGGCTGCGGCCCGGCGAAGTTTATATTATAATGTCTACGGTCTACGCACGTTGTTACTACACAGCACACTCTTGACTCTACAAGTCGCGCGAATGAAAACAAAAAACAATCAACTGACTATACGCCATACGCCAACGGCAAAATGATGCATATTGGGCATTGGTCGTTGTTATCATTTCTATGGCGGTCGTGCGGTCGTCTTTCGACTGATAGTGCCTCCAAAGATGTTATACATGAACCGTTTCCGACCGAAATGGGTTTTCAACGTACAACGACCTGCGAATATTGTAAAAAGKTCTTGCTTTAAGTAGGCACTCGGTTATCAGGCCTAGACCGGAAAAAAAGACACAATAATGAAATTTTTTGACTTTTTAACAACGCCATTCACCCGATCAGATTGGGCTTCTGAAGTGCCAGAATCCGCGAAAACAATATTTCGACCTCTGGGAGGTTACAACTCACCATCCAACACAAACACAAACGACCTGGTATAACAAGCGTGGTTAGAGAAGCTAACCACATGCTCACTACTACAATTTGGCACGTTGCAGTAGGTCGCAATGTCATTATTTTAACACCTGCGCTATTCCTGCTACAATCAATAACTATTTATTAAATTAGATTAAATTTTTTTTTAAACACGATTTTTAGATATTGTACATTTCATAATAATTTTTATTTTAAGTTTTTATCACTGCCGTTTAACCGATTAAATTGGGCTTCTGGAGTGTCAGAATCCGTGTAAACAATATGTCGGACTCTGGGAGATTACAACTCACCATCAACACAAACACAAACGACCTGGTATAACAAGCGTGGTTAGAGAAGCTAACCACAGGTTCACAACAAGAATGTGGCACGTTGCAGTAAGTTACAATGTCATTCTTTTAACACCTGCGCTATTCCCGCTAGAATCAAAAATTATTTATTACATTAGATTATTTTTTTAACACGATTTTTATAAAATGTACATTTTATAATAACTTATATTTTAAATTATTCTAAYATGGGAAACTCTATATTGACATTGTATCTAATTTAATATTTCGTATTCCTTGCGCCGATAAAATGTACACATACACAGTTATGCTTTCAAATAGAAGAGCAAATACCTAGCCACAGATTGTTTTGTAGTGTAATGTACAGTAGACTATCCTCAAGTTTATTTTTGAATGTGCGGACTGTATCAACCCGGAAAAAGACCAGACTGCGAATAAAAATAGCTCAATAGGTACTAACTTTTAAAATAATTCTTATACTTGGAGAGGAAGGTCTGAGTTCACAAAGGATTTCCAAAAAATCTACTCTTGGTCAGTTTTGCGAATTAGTTCTAGACTATACTATAGTCAAGATTCGAGTTAAGAAACGTAYCTAGACGGCTAGACAGCGGCCGAAATGTGTGCGACCACATTTCTGGGCAAGGAATGTTTCTATGCTATCAAAATGATTAAAGTGTCAATACTTTTCTTCCAGTACAAGTATTTTTAGTACCTATATTACTCAATCACTGTTTCGATATTTTACTTGTATCAAAAGAATATTACTCGTTTTGAATCCTGTTTTTTTCCATTTCATCATGGAATAATCAATAACGACCCCGTCTACAATCTCAGTCCGCCATTTTAAAACATCAGTATTTTCATTCCGATACAAGTATTTAAGGTATCGATATTTGAATTCAATTCGATATCAAGTAAAATTATCGATACTTTTTTCGATATCACATACCTAGGCAATACTACACGGTAGGTATACTAATGGTTGACACAGTGAAAGAACGAACAAGTGTTACCTGACTGCTACCCAACTAGTTTCTTAACTTGAACAGAGTATACTGACTATTGAGTAAAGGGTGACCATTTTAAGAAAATAAAAAAATAGGAAAGGTTAGGTTATAAGGTGTAATTGTAGAGTGTAAAAGTCCACCCAAACCTGTGTCATGTCATAAGCAAATGATTTCTTATTACTTTGCACTTTTGAGTTTACTTACCTAAATAATACAACTGTTTAAATGCTTAGGAATATTTTCTTTTATTATTCATTCGACAGCGAAATGTTGCATTTGCAAAACGAATGCATTTATATTTAAACAATTAGGAAACTTTATTTTTTATCATTTAACTAACCCTCCAAGCTAGATGAGGGAGACCCCGACCCTCTCTTTCACCGGTTATAGATATAAATGATTGCTGATTTTTAACACAGAGTTGTTAGAATTATATAATTAACCAACATGCTCAACTCGAGTGAAAATCGATAAACGTTTAACTTAGTCATCTAGGAATACAATYTGACTGTTGAACGTGGACAATATGCAACAGTACATTTGGTAGGCAGTCCAACTTCAGTGAAAGTAGACACACCGTAGTTCGTCTGCAAATTGATCACTAATTCAGTATTGTGACGTTTTTTTTTTAATCTCGAAGAGCTAGACGCGGTTCAGTTTGTTCTTTCATAAAAGCCAACAAGTGTAAATCTGAAAGCCACGTTAAAGTGTCTAACAAGTCAGTCTCCTCAAGCGAAGATCAATTAACGTTCAACTTGATCACCTTAGAAGGTGAATTGCGACATTTTACAAAAACCTGTTCATGGACATAATACACGTCACGGTCACTCACTCGCACCACTAAATTCAAAAACATATCTCAATTGTGATATTTTTAAAAATTTTACATGGGAAACTACCTCTTCGAGCTAGCCAGGCCAGACCAGCCAAACATGCCCCCTTGACAGCTCAAATTGGTACTGATTTTGGAAACTGAGTCGTTAGAATTATATAGGTCAGGCCTATAGGTTACTTCTAATACAAATTAAATTGATTAACGCTGAACTTGGTAACTTACTACTTAGGTATGTAAATCCGACTGCGCTGAACCATTGACAATATGTGACAGCATATAAGATAACAAATCCACCTGTAATGAACTGCCAACTGCGGAAACTTCTGTAGCAGCAACTTAGATAGTTGCTACGGTGCTATCTTGTGCTTATATGGAAATTGAACAGCGTTAATCTGAAAGCCACAGTTGAGTGTCTAAGAAGTCGGTCATGAGTCAAGTAATAATCGCTTTAAGTATAACTTGATCACCCAAGTTAGCAATCTGACATAGTCGAACATAAGAATACATATAGTTCTATAAATATAACCGCTAACTCTGACGACTCTTGAGAAATCATCTATTAGGTAGATTTCTATAAGTCGATTTCTGGAAAATTTGATAAATCATCATAAACGTAATTTTACAGATTCTATTACAACACATTTTTCCATCATTAAAATTTTTATCTGGAATTATTTTTTTCAAGTTAATTGAAACCTTTTAAAAATATCTACATATAAACTTAATATTCCCCTAAATTAGAAATCAAAAACATTTTTGATTTTTTAATATTATTTCATATAATTTAAAACTTAATATAAGTACCTATAGGTACCATTAAATATAATAGCAGGTATATTATTTCACGTTTAATAATTCTTGTATTAAATCACAAGTTCCATTTAAAATTTAAACGACATCTATTTTACCCAGTAGTATCAGAACAAAACTTTCGTATATCTTCAGTTAGGCACTGTCTAAAAGTGGTTGGTATGTTGCACTAGCTTGATCACTTACAATTCCTGCAGTTTTTTATGTTGGGACACCTAGCAATTGTTTATGAATCATGACCGTAAACTAAAGTTACTATTAATGCATTGGAATACAGTTTTCAAATTGTTGGATAGAGCTCTTCAACTTAATAATTTCCAATTCATGCACTGGTTTCTATATAGGTAGTCTGTCGACTTATCTTTATGTACCTAAAAATTATTTGTACGATAACTTTTCTCTTTTAAGCACCAACTAGTTAAATTCCAAAGACCATGAAATGCATCTAAAGTAATGTAAAATAGACGATATTATTTTCATATTTTATATTTTTAATTGCTTCAAATTATTAAATAAATAATCGTTAGATTGGGAAAATAAATTAAAATATTATAAAGCGATGTACAATAATTTAGGTATATGATATTATGAAATTAAAATTTTTTTACAAAATATATCATAATTTATAGGTATCTAATATTGTAGATATGAGATACTGTAGAACAGAGGTCCTCACTACGCGGCCCGCGGATCACATTCGGCCCTTTAACAAATTTAATGAAGCTCGTATTAAAATTAAATTGTACATTCTAAAATCTAAAATCCCAATTCCAAGAAAAACATTTGTGAACTTTTCCTAAAATACCCTTTCTTAACAAAATATCCTGTTTCATTTTATTGTTATTATTTGTTTTTACTATTCTTCACTAAATTCAATGAACTGCAGTTGTATATTTTTATATTGATAATTATTATTAGGTATTAAAAAGGTAAAATGGAGTACTATAATTGAATAGTCTTTTTTTTTCAATCGAACCAACCAAGCTATCTTATGTATACCTCTAGCTATTTTACTTATTGTAAAAATATTTAAAAAAGATTGTACAAATTAAAATAAGTATGCTAAAAATAATAATACTAATAAATAAATGTATAAGCAGCCCGCAAGTAATTTTCAAAAATTATATTTGGCCCTTTCTAAAATCCTATAGTGAGGACCGTTGCTGTAGAGTGTATATACAATTAATCAAACATTTAATGATTAAATAATTAATACATATGAACACAAATTGGTCTAATATAGAATTAAAGTATCGAAAATTATTATTATTTATTAATTTTATTAAAAAACAATAATAATGAAAAAAAAAATTATACGATTGGTATTATATAATCGGCGACCCCAAATATAGAATAGTTAATACCAATAAGATTTTCAGGCAAACTTAATTYTATCATTGTGAGTTGCGACCATCATAGGTTAATAATGTCGTATTTTATTTTAAGATGTAACTTAAAGTCTATACAGTATTTTAATAAAAATATGTAATATATATAATCGATTCCATATAACGAGGATTTTCACTTCAAAAATCTGGGCTTCTATGAATAGAAAGATTGTTGTGATTTTAGCATTTTAATATGGTATACGTGAACCATGAATYGAAATTAAACTTAGAAACATATTTATAATATGCATATTTACAGAAAAAGCAGAATTGRTTGGTCAGCATATTCAAATACATTTTACATTTTGCCTACCAATA